TCCTCCTCCTCCTCCTCCTCCTCCTCCTCCTCCTTCTGGCGCTGCGCTTTCTGCTTGGCCACCGCCGGCACCGCCGAGGCCAGGCAGCGCCCCGAGCGCGCGGCCTGCACGCCCTCGCCGCTGCAGAGGCTCATGGCCGCGGCTTCTGCGAGCTCCTCCTCCTCTGCCTCGTCCTCTGTCCCTTCGGCCCGCTAGGAAACAATAGCGGTGGCCGTCGTTGCGGCCGACCGCTTTCGGAGTTTGTTTAATCGCGGGAGGGCCTGCGCACGGCTGCGAGACCTTGGACTCATTCGACTACTACGGGAGGTTCGGGGACGTCCGAGGGGACCATTGGCGCCCCTACGCCTAGTGTTTCGGGCGCTCCTGACGGGCAGTCTGCGCCGGAAGCAGTTTTCCGCAACCGTATTGTAACCAGCTCGGCTACTGCGTCTGCTGGAAGTGTGCCTTGCCCAGTGGCTTCTGTGTGTAGTAGGCCCGAGGCTTCAGGGGACATGGATTTCACTCTTCTTTCGAGGAAAGCATTTGGTCGCCGAAGGCACCTTTATGTTTTGTTTGAGTCGTGGTGGGAATCCCTCAGCCAGACAATCCACGATTTTGCTTGCCCAGTGCACAGTTTCTGTTGCATGGAGCGTTAGTTGGGGGGATACCCGTGGCCCTTAAGCATCTTAGAACCACTAAGTGTCACCCGCGCATGGGGATTCCACTGAGCGGTTCCCCTAGCGTTTTCCTCATTGAAAATGTGGCTCCCTCGCTCCTTCGGCGGTGTTTATTGGGCGTGCGTCTCCTCCTCCTCCTCCTCCTCCTCCTCCTCCTCCTCCTCCTCCCTCCCTCCTCCGTCGCCGCCGCTGGAGGCGCTGCAGGCCAAGCACAGGGAGGGGCGCCAGGCGGACGCCGACAAGCAGAAACACGCGTGGCTCACGTGGTTCCCAGAGAGGCACCTCGTGTTCTCGGTGCTGAGGCTGCGATGCTCCCCCTGATGCTGTCCCCAGACCCCCTCGGGCCAGGAAAAAATCATGACGGCAGGTTTTTCTCTATTTTCGGCCTTCCGTGGCCCTTTACCAGGCCCTGGGACCGTCACAAAACGACTCAGGATGAAAAACCGGTCCCGGGGAATGGGTCGAGACCTCTTGGGGTCGAGGTTCTGAAAGAACCATGATGTCGGAGGTCTGGGTCGGACGAGTTTTCGGGCGTCTTCGTCGGCTCCTGGAGTCGGCCACGCGTAAGAGTGGCCCTTCGCCGGCGTGACCTTCAAGACATTGGTGCGGGCCCGCCGGGCTCTCCCTGGCCATGGCTTGCGCGCCTGGATTTGGGCCCCCCGCAGCCCCCCAAAGCTGCGCACCAGAGGTCTTTCTTGTTCGATGCTCGTTTTGGGGACCTTCCTGGGGCCCACCTAATGGATCTGTTCGGCTCAGGTTCGACTCAAGTTCGACTCAGGTTCGACACCGATTCGACTCAGATTCGACTCAGGTTCGACTCAGCTTCGACTCAGGTTCGACGCAGCTTCGACGCACGAGTGGAGCGAGTGGCTCCAGGAAGGTCCCCAGAATGAGCATCTAACTCTTGCCCAGGGTCACTCTTGCGCGTGGCCGGCTGGAGGTCGTCCTGCCCTGGAGCGCGCTTCAGCAGCTGCTCCTCGCCGAGAGCGTTCTGGGGGTAGCCGAAGCTGGGGTCGGACGAGTTTTCGGGCGTCTTCGTTAGCTCTTGAAGGTCTTCCTGCCCCGGGATGCGTTCCAGCAGGTGCTCCTCGCTGAGAGCGTCGCGGCAGTGCTTGTCTTGAACGGCCGCTGGAGACCCGAGTTATGACCATGAGAAACGAGGTCAGGGTCCATGTCTATCCGATCGACCTGGTTCGATATAGATTATGGCCGTCGTCGTCGTCGTCGTCGTCGTCGTCGTCGTCGTCGTCGTCGTCGTCGTCGTCGTCGTCGTTGTCGTCCTTCCTCCTCCTGCCTTTCTGCTGCCTCCTTCCTCCTCCCTCCTCCTTTCTGCTCTCTCCTCCCTCCTCCTCCTTCTCCTCCCTGCTCCCGTTTCCTCCCTCCTCCGTTCTCCCTCCCCCCCTGGTGGTGGTGGTGGTGGTGGTGGTCGTCGTCGTCGTCGTAGTCGTCGTCGTCGTCGTAGTCGTCGTCGTCGTCGTCGTCGTCGTCGTCGTCGTCGTCGTCGTCGTCGTCGTTGTCGTCGGCGTCGGCGTTGGCGTCGTCGTCGTCGTCGGTCCGTCGGTCCGTCGGTCGGTCCGTCGGTCCGTCGGTCGGTCCGTCGGTCGGTCGGTAGTCGTCGTGGTCCCCCAGGTGTCTTGTCGCGACAGGGGTCGCGCTAGGCACGGTGTCGGAAAGTTCCCTGCACCAATTTTTCATGGTCTGCTGCGGTATTCTCCAGCCCACGCTGGCCTTTCTTGTTGCAGGGTTCCTCCTCCTCCTCTTCCTTCTCCCCCTCCTCCTCCCGTGGGCCGGTGGGGAGACCTTCCCCCCTTGCCGTGTCGGTCAGGTCGCCATTGCTGCTGCTTCCTCTGCCTTGCTGCTGTCTCCCAGGTGGCCCGCCTCGACAACTCGCCATGCCCTCTGGGTCGGGGCGCGCGGCTTTCTCTTCTCACTTCTGCGGGGCTTCGTTTCGGCTCAGCCGACTCGATTCGGTCCGATTTCGTTTGATTCTGCCTCCCACCCGATTCGATGTCGGATTCCGATTTGGACTTCGGTCTCTCGATAGGGGGGCCTCCTCGGCCTGCCGACTTCCGCCCACTCGACTCCTCCCCACTTGGCCGCCGGTGTCCGCCGCTCCGATCCATCTCGACCGCCGATCCGACTTGTGCCGATTCGGTTTCGGGCCCTCCTGCTCCTGGGTTACGATCTTCCAACCTACTTTGGCTTGGACCACCAGAGAGAGTTTCGAGCACCAGAAAAGTACCGACACTCGAGGGTTTTTCACGCGTCCAGTTCTGGGGGACGCTCGTCCGACACTGCCTTGACACCGGTTTGACGCTCCTTCGACACTCTTCCGGGTGCTCGAAACCATTTACTTCTGGCATGTGGTCCTTCAGTACGAGGGGAACAGCCTAGCTCCTGGGGCGACCTCCGTGGCGGCTCCGCGCCGACGCGTGCCCAGCGCACAGAGGGCCCGCGACGGGCCCCATCGAGACCTCGGGTTACGTCGGGCCTGTCCCTCTACAGGAGGAGTATTCAAAAGTAGTCAAACAATAGCCTGGGGACTATTTTTAAAGTATTTTTTTAAAACAATTTTTTAAAAGATATTATATATATGTATATATATATAAATTATATATATATATATATAAATAATTTTTTTCAACGAAAATCCCCCTGTAGGGGGACACGCCCGACTTCAGCCCAGGCCTGCGACGAGACCCTCCGGCGGCCCCGCGCCCCCTTGCGCGGGGCAGATGCGCAGCGGGGCGCCCCGCTCGGGCCTGTCCCCCCCGCCAGCGCTCCGTCCTCCTCCTCCTCCT